TTCAACTGGCAAACAGTTTTCAAGTGCGGCAACGGTGATACAAAGGCAGCCAGTGTCTGCAATTAGAACGGTGGGAGCTCGGCTTTTAAGGCGAGCTAATTATAAGACCGCATCGATCACCGAGCGAGACAGCGTTCCACGATTTTCTCGGGGCGAATCGCGATGTACCGGTTAGAATGGGTAAAGAGGAGTGCGGTTACGAGGGGTTGGACCGAAGGGTCGCGGACCGTGAGCTCGAACATCGTTCAAACCACCAGACTGCGGAATAGGGGTTGCCGGAGAGATCCGCGTTACCGAGAGAGATCCTGCTGGAAAGTGGAACGAGTGTTTTGCGCGTGAAACACGGTGCAGTAGCGTAGCTTCGATATCCATCGACGAGCACAATTTCACAATTGATACTCGGACCAAAAAGAATTTACATTTTAAGATAAATTCCAGATGTTGCGAAATGTACGTCGAACGGCGTGAAAAAGAAAGAAGAAGGAGAGAGTGTATCACGTCCGCGGGGAAAACGCGAAACAGAGGCACGTTCTTGGCACGTTATTAGCTCGAGGAACTTCGATGTACGACCGCTTTCGACGGGCGCCTTTCGAAAAGAATGCCTTGGGAAAAGAATGGAAAGAAAAAGACGCCTTGATATCGGGATCGAGTACGCCACTGGCCTGGTAGAGAACATTGAAAGAGGAAAAGAGAGTGGAGAGAGGGCGGCTAACAATGGCCGCCAACCAAAACATCCGATAAATCTAACCGGCCCTGGACCTCAAGCCCCGAGGGGTTTTAAACTCTCTCACCCCAAAACATCGTCGACGCGGGCGCAACCCTTACATTACGTTACACTCGCCGGGAAAAGGGAGCCATGCCGTGTGCCATTGCTGCAGCGTGGGCCGAGGGTGGCGAAGGAGGAGAGAGAGGGTTAGAGCCTAGAGCACCGGTCCGGTTGAACAGGGAGAACGGGGTGTCGAGGGGGGGTTGATATGCGATCCACGAAAAACCAAACAGAGAGAATTCCGTCCCGGCTCACCCTTCTTTCCTGGACGTCCCTCCCTCGAGTCTCTTATACCACTCGACCAACCGCCTCTCCTACCCTGATCCTCCCCCTTCCACACGTGCCGGCTAGAACAGTAACGAGATCTCCCGCGAGTGAGCGGTCAAGTAGCTTTTCGACGGAATCTCGACGAATTTGTCGGACGCGACCGCGTCGTAATTTATCCGCCTCGTGCTCCGGTTTGCTCGTCGACGTTGAAATTCCGCCACGAGCGCGGGGCGGAACTTGTGGGCCGTTTCTTTCTCTCGGTCGTATTTATTTCGGAACGAAGGGAAATTTAAGCGTGGCGCGACCCACTTCGAATAACCAACGCGCGGCGCGATAAACTATTCCCGTTTGACGGACGAACGAGTGAAGAAACAAAAAAAAAAAAAACAAAAAAATAAACGATGAGACGATAGCGGACGATGGGGGAGAATTCAGCGAAAATCTCGCGTTCTTCGTTCAAGACGTAGACCGATCTATTTTCTCCGATTCGACGATTCGAGATCGCCGTTCAATCCGTCAAACAGTCTCTACGCTCGTCAGAATAAACATTGACGTCAGAGACCCGAACGAAAAATTCACGAGAGTGAGGCGGCGACGAAGGAGAGAATAAATTAGAACGAGGTTGCAAAACAACGCCAACGTTGACGGCATCAATGAAAATTAACAACGTCGTCGCGAACGTCTTCGTCGGCTGGATCGAACCAGTGGCAACGTTTCGACGGCGTGTGTGTGTAATTTTACGAAACTGAAAATAACAGCGACCATCGGACGCATTAGGCAAGAGAACCGAGCAGAACGAACGGAGTAGCGGCTCGTAATGGATGAGCCGACGAAAATATATAGTCGGGGGATATAACGTAGACGCGGGCTAATGCTGTCGTCGACGTAGAAACTCGGTTCTCGTCCGCGGAACGGTCGACGTATCGAAAGTTTAGCGACGCGACGCCTGGGAATCCCGGGACTTCTTGACAGTCGTGCGTAATCAGCCGCTGTTCAAGTTGCGCTCGCTACGTCTGGGATCTCTCTCGCGGCTGATTGAACGAGCGGCTAGCCACGTTTCCGCGTTGAAGAACCGTCGATACCTTTTAAACAACGCGCGTACGCGCCGCCATCGCGCTTTTCCAAGCTCTCTCAACAGCGGATATTCAAAGCGTTCGTCGAGAAAATTTACCGAGAACTGTTCCATTTCGTGCCGAGAAACTATCGGCTTTCAACCGTGTTTTCTACTCGTGATCCTGAGAAACGCGTTTGGAAATTACGAGGGGTGGAAACGGCGATCCGAAAATTTCGCGCAACGCGGTCGGAGGGGCAGGACGCGTAAATTGCAATCGTTGCTGCGGTTCTATTAACGAGCTGCTAGGAAATAGTCATTATTAATAACCGGCGCATCCTGCAACAAAATTTATCCCGCGCTTCCGGCCAGCCGTTTAATTCAGTCACCGATATCGGTTGCATTCAAAAACGTGCGCGGGCCAGCGCGATCTAGCCGCAGAGAGACACGTCCGGCGGGGATGAAAACGGGGGGGGGGGGGGGGGGGTTGGTTGGGGAAAGATTATGTACGCATAAATCAAAAATTAGCATTAACGATTCATTATTAACAGTCGAGCTGCGCGGCCGAGATAAAATTTATCCCCCGTTTCCGTATTTCGATTAATTAATGCAGCTCCCGGTAGCGCTTTTTAAACGACAATATTAACGCTCCACCGCTGGAACAGGCTGACATTTTAAACGAATGGACACCGTACGAGACCCGAGAGATGGACAAAGAGGAAACGCGTAATGACGATTCCGACTCTTTGTATATAATATACTTTGATCGATGGAGAAAGAAGGTGAAGCAGAATGCAATTGAGCTAAATTAAATCTAGATGCGTGTATCGTTCCCCTTTTTTGCTATTTTGTCTCAATCACCGATGAGCCGTACTATTATTTATCCCTCCTTTTGCTCGACGTTCCCTGCCAGCCGTCCGTCAAAGTCGCCCGTCTGCGTTCAAAGTCGCGCGCTTCGCACGGTAATTACAATCAAACCCTCGATCGAGGTTCGCTTGCATCGCGTATTTATCCATCGTCGCGTCGATATCACGACGGTTTATCCAGCGCGCTATAAAACGGCGCGCTATTGCCGCCGCGATTGTCGTTCGGTGGGAAAGAAAAGATCGCGAAAAAGAGCAAAAGGAAGAAGCCAGAAGCTTTCTCGAGAGCGCAGATCCCGCGGCCACTGCTCCACCTTCTCTCTCTTTGCGGATCCGTCGCTCGGTCGCTCGTGGCTCGGTCCGTGGGCGGAAGGAAGAGAGGTCCATACGAGAGAGGCGAACGAAGAGGACGAGGGACCAGAAAGAGGGACAGACAGGTCGGTCCGAGAGAGGAACCCGCGGCTGCCATGGTTACCGTCGCATTCCCGCCTCGCCTCGTTGCCATGGAGACGCCGCGTGAACCTCTCTCTTTCACCTTCGGCTGCCCTCTGCCTGTCTCCTTCGCCCTACCCAGAGTCCACCGTCCCTTTTCCCTCGAACCCGGTGCCGGGATACCTTCTCGTTCTCGCACACCCGGCGAACGTCTCCTATACCCTCTCACAGTCGTTCCCTCTCTCCGGGTGTTCTCCCCGTCGCGCCAACTCGCCAAGCTTCTCTCTACCTCTGGCATTCGCTCATATTCCCTCCGTACCTTCGAAGAGAACGAAGAGGACGAGAGGGCCCGAGAGATAAAGAGGAACGAACGTACGATACGGGAGAGAGAAACGAGGGAAGCGACGGTGTTGGCGGTGTTCGCGCATGCGCGATACCGCTGTCTTCCACGACGAGCCTGGACGTCTCTCGTTTCGAATCGTTCGATTAGTTATCGACTGAAAGTGATTTACGTCCCCTTATCGGCGGCCCTCCTTGGCGGCCGCGTAATTTAATTAAAGGAGAAATCGAAGATGGACAGCTCGGCGATCGTTTCCGCGAGAATTGGACGGGCATCGATAGATATCGATGCTCGACATCATCGGCGCCGCGGCGATCGCGGCCCAACCGGTGGCAAAATGAAACTAACGAGACACACGCCGAGGAATATTTTCTCCCACGAAGTACATACACGTGCGTTTTCTTTTCATTTTCAGCTTAACCGAATATTTACTACGTATTTTCTCGTGCCTGAGAATATCGCCGATAGACAGCGACGTTGTAACGCACGCCGAGATGAGAACTGGCGGTGCGCGCGTGTACATACGCGCCGCGACGCGATAGACAGGCGGAGGTGTAAGCGGCTTGCTTTATAAGCCCCGATTCTGATTGGCCGTCGCGTCACCCGGTATCAATATTTATTCAACGCGGCGAATGCCCGAGGCACGATTAAAACTTGTTTATGCCGCGAACGATTGCGCTCCTCCCACGAGGAGGCCGCTGTATATATATATGTATATGCAGCCTATATATATATATCGCGCGCGTTCTCTCTCTCTTTCTCTTTCTCTCTCTCTCTTTGCACGATCGCACGCGTATTTCAGAGACAGTGCTCTCGCTCCCGTTTTGTTTCTTTCAATCCGTCCGCGGAAAATTCATCCCGAGGATCGAAGACGAGGATTCTTCGGGTCTCTTCGTGCGCATCGTTCAGAGGAGGGTAGATTCGTACGAGAGGGTGGAAACACGCGACGAGTACCTGATAAATGTAGCACGCGCGAGATCACGAGCCTAATCGTGGCGATTAACGCTAGAGCGAGCAGACGCGAGCGTTAAACAAGCAGAGCACCGTTTAATTAAGGATAACGTACGAGCAGCTGGAAATTTCACGGGAATTCGGCTCGAACGTCAACCAGAGAGAGAGAGAGAGAGAGAGAGAGAGAGAGAGAGAGAGAGAGAGAGAGAGAGAGAGAATCGGACGGCCCATATTTCGCCCGAGATATTCAATTTAGAGAAGGGTGAAAAGTTTTTAGAAGAGAAGTGAGAAGAGAGAGAGAGAAAGAGACAGAAAGTTCGTAAGACTTACCGGGGCTACCGAGGAAGACGGAAGAGTAAAGGACGCCTCGACGCGCGTCGCTCGCCGCTCTCTGCGCGTCCGGCGGCGAACTCCATTCCCTACGCGGACACCATTTACCTGAAGCAAAGAAAAAAACATTCATTACACCGTTAATCATTGACTTCTCATATTGTCGCCTGCTGTCAAAGAAAAAAAAAAAAAAAAATAACCTCGACCGGTTCTTTTCCGAAAACTGTGGGGATCAGAACCGCACGGTCGCCGCGTGATCCGGTGACCGTGAGTGAACACAGATCGGAGTACGAGTCGAATTTGCATCGTGTGTGAACGATATCAGAAACGAGTCGAATCACCGAGTGAGTCGCCGCTCGAGAGTTTTACTCTGAGACACGTAAATCCCAGTGCAACGTAGATTACATAGGAACATAAATGGAAACTCCGTTGCATCGACCAGACTGACAATGAGGGGAACAGTTCTCCTCGCTGGTGCAAAAATAATTGCGGTGGTAAAGATCCGACACACACGGGGACGTAAAAAGACACGTAGCAAGAGCGTATGTACGCGCGCTCCGAAAGAATGCATCGAAGCTCCGATGCACAAAGGGGGCGAAGAATTCGTGATCGTTCGCATCACGACTTCGACCAGGGAGATTCTATCGCGTGCTGCTCCATATATATCCCGTTACTTCTTTCCTTTCTTTTTCCCGGCCTCGGCCGGCCGGCATGCGATCTCACCCCTGCCGCGGCTCGTTCGGCCAAGAATAATCGCGCAATTATAATAATTAGATAAACGCGCGAGGAGAGCTTGTTGCGTTAAGAGCCGGTACTCGCTCAAACGGGTTCACCGCCTACCGGAATGTATCGAGCAAGTCCACCGAACGTCGCGCCGGATACGACAGATTCGGCCGCGATACCGAAACGCCACATAACCCGTATTTCACAATTAAATTGTCGTCGATTAATACCGGGCGTTGACGCGTTCGCGTGTTGGAAAAAAATTCTCCTTTTTTTGTTTTTTCATTTCTTTTTCTTTTTTTGGCTTTCTTTCTTTTCTTTCTTTTTTTTTTTTTTTTTNTTTTTTCATTCCCCGCATCTCGTGACACCGAGAGTACCAGTGATAAATCAGGGGAGCCAGCAACGACGTAAACACGCCGAAAATAATTAGGAACTGCGAAAGGAGAAATGATGGAGCCACGAGGCGATTAACGTGGCAAACGGGTGTGCCGCGAGACTGATTTATAAGGCGGACAAGAAACGAGTCTCGTAGCCAAGGTATTGCAATTTTCCGGATGCGAAAATAGGAAAGGTATCTACTTTATTTCCAGGGAGATCCCGGCTGAATGAGGATACACGGTAAGAAAGGGTGGCACCGGGGGATAAGAGTAAGCCGCGGAGCGAAGTAATTTCACACGAGAGAGTAGGGTCTCGCCCGGGCGGCCGCCGGATCCACCGGAGCTACAGTCTTATCTACGGAAATATAGCGACCATCCTCCGGCGAAAATTATATTCTTGAAAAGCAGAAAATTGCTTCGAAAGCTGCGGGCCAGGCTGCGCGCCGATATTAGGTCGTCCTCCTTTGCCCAGTGTCGACGAATGGAGTTTCGTCTCGTGGACTTTTTAATCAATTGAATCGACACGCCACAGTATTACACGATCGAGCTCGAGTCGCGATTCAAGACGAGACGACGAGAAAGCCTTTCTTCCTCTCTTCTCGGCGGATTAAAAAAATGGACTGGGACTTTTAATTCCAGGGCCCGAGGAGATGCGGCGTTTAACCCGACGTTACGGTTATGGTTAGTCGTGTTAATTTGTGGCCTAGCCAAATGACAGAGGGCCGAACCAGTGATTCGAAGGTAACGATTATCCCTGGCTCGAGGGACTGTGGAGTTGGATTCGCGTTAATGACGAGGAGATTAGAGATTCGACGTCGCCTGACTCACTCGGGTTGATCCGTTTGGTGCATCGGATGGATTCGAGACGAGATTCGAACGCGACGCGCAAGAGTAGGGGAAGGTTTGGAGCAACAGAGACGACGAGGACGACGCATTGTGCGAGGAAAAGATCCTGCTGGCAGGTAAAAGTAGCAGGGTGGAGGCGGAACAAAGTGGAGACGAACTGGAGATCCTTCGGAGAAAGCGAGGATCCGACTTCACGCCGATGGAATCCCGTCTTTCTGCGCTCGATGGTGGAACGAGAGAATAAACGATACATCAGGATTATTCGGAGTCGGTCGCCCAGCGTTGCCGACCCATTAAACACTGGCAGACCGTGCGTCACAGTTATCCCCGAAGTCGTCGATGAAACTCGGGGACTCGGAGAATACCTGTAGGATCCTAGGAGCGGAGGTGGAGCGGCCGTGGAAGAAATTTATAGCTACTAACAGACAGGGTGTAATCATACGCGTCACCCCGTCAACTCTGTAACCGTGATTTATCGTGGGAATTTCGAAAGACGTCCAGGAATGTACGTCACGTTCCACGAACGTTATACCATTCGAATTTCATTCTGTACGTTCGTTTCTCTCTCTCTCTCTTTCTATTTATCGCCATTAATCGCGACCCATTTTTTTTGACACTTTATCGGCACGGTTGTAATCCGCTTCTATTAATCGAACGTTTCCGGACGTGATAGTTGCGAGCTGGTAATTGAATCCCGGTAGGAGGGGAGGGGAAAGATAGGAAGGCGCGGGGAGGGAAGAAAGTCCACGGCAGACACACGAAAGCGACGATTCGAATTCATTGAAGCGCTCGAATCGTATCATGAATTATTCCGCCCCTGAAACTTTAATCACGGCCGATTCCGTGTTCTGAGGAGAGCAATCGTCGCATCTGGAAACGGAGCACGAGTCGGGGCCGAAACGGGGGATTCGTTAAGTGGCGTCAAGTGAGACGTCTCTTTTGAATGATCGCTCTGCGGCTAAATTGCGGGTTAACTTCGGGGTTCGCGTGTTAGCGACAGTCATGCCACGCGGTCGAATCGTGTGTAGCAGATGAAACCCAGAGCGAATGAGACAGAAAGATCCAGGGGGCAGAGGGGAGAGGGAGAGAAAGAAAGAGAGAGAGAGAGAGAGAGAGAGAGAGAAGAATCGAGGAGGACCCAATTGGGGAGAGGGGTGGACGATTCGACGACCGTTTCGTTCATCTTCGTCGTCGTCGTCGTCGTCGTCGTCGTCGTCTTCCAACCGGAGATGAAAAGTCAGAACCCGGAGCCTCGATACGTTCCGCGCGAACGCGTCCCTCGTCGCCCCTGTCTCGGTTTATTTTTACAGACTATCACACGCTCGACGATTGTAAATTGGAATGTAATTCGAGCAGCGCGTCCGTGGATCTCTCATCGGTATCGGGTCCACCACTGTCCGCCACTGATTCATCTGTGTTAACGAGTGTCGTGCTTCCAGTTTCAGCGGACGGTTCGTTGAACTTTTTCGCTGGCCAATCGCACGGATATTCTCAATTACAATTCTGCACTCTTTTTATGAGTCATGATCGCCCGTGATGCGATCGTGTTACTCCAGTCTGTCATCGGTTTTGTAATTCGTTTGGAATCTCGCTTGGCTGAGGGTTACTTGACACGTTCGTTAATCTTCGGCCAGCTTCGCCGCCGAAAATAAAGCAATACACTGTGGCTCGCGTGTACGAATTAAATCGGTGGCTCGAGCGTCCTAGGAATCGGTTCAGATTTGACGACAAGATTCATCAGCCACGGAAAACGCGGGACAGGTTACGGAGCCGGATATAGATACATTGCCAATAACCCTATCGGATTGGGGTTGCGTTCTCGATATAAATAAATCAATATAACCTACTTCCACCCCGAGACGCCGCCCTCTTTCGCCGTAAGGAAGTGACGTATGAGACTCGCATCCTCTCGAAACGAGGGTTGAGGAGCCCACCCTGTTATTTCACAGTTAGGCTGGCCCTACCCTTGCTCGCGCCACCTTCAACCTTCTTCCACGCTGGCGTCTTCTCTATCCCGAGACCGAGCTTCGTCCCTAGTCTTGCTTCCAGGCGTACACGAGTCCCTCGGGAAGCTTTTGTCCTCGAGCTGTAAGCGACTTCCTGACAGGCCGAGTTTGCACCTGCTCTCCTCTTGCCATCGCCTGTATCTCTCCTCGCCCGTTTCTCTCTATTCTTCTCTTTCGCTTCGGCCTTTCTCCTCCCGTGCCGTGCTCCTCTATATTTTTCTCCTTCTCCCAGTAACTTCGGTCTAACCTTAATGTCAACCCGCACCACCTACCAGCGCGACGTGTTACCAACACGAAATTTATTCCAGATAGATATCCTCCGTCTTTTTCGTCCCGTATTTCGTCGTTCGAAGATAAACCGCAGAATAGATCGGTTAATACACCGAGATGAAAATTATTTTCTGATAGTTCACCGTGTATCTGTCGATGTTCAACATCAGTCATCAGTCTGAATTGCCGATTGCTTCGTTTTTAAGTAATTAAAAATGTCCTTGTAATCCAACTGTTTGTTTGACCATATATTCATTGCAATATTCTACAGATCCTCTTTCAGAAAGCTTCTCGACTGTAAAGAATATCTTTTCTTCGTAGCCAATGGATTTTTCTTAGTTGTCACGTACGCAACAGTGTTACCTACTCACGCCGAGTAGACTCACTCAGTATATATCTCTTCTCTAACCATTAAGCATCTTCGAATAAATCAGAGTCGACGAGGGAGAAGAAGGCGGTAAAGAACATACACGGTAACTCCTAATCCAACAAACTTCCATCGTTATCGAATCGTTGTTCGAAACAGAATAGGAGATCACCGCGATAAAGCGATCAGAATTTTCCACGTCTGACGCGAACCACGGCGTTGTATTTTCCGTTTCGCGCAGTCGTCGGTGTCTTTCTTTCTCGGCTGGGAGGGGAGGAGGTGGCAGAAGGAGAGGAGAAGAGGTGGCAAAGCTGGAGGCGGAGGAGGTGGAGGAACAGAGAGTGAAAGAGAGACAGACAGAGAGGGACGAGAGGGACGTTCGCAGATGTTCGAGACGCCGGGTGATTAATGACGCCCGATAAACGTAATTTGTTGCGGGGCCGCGGACTCGTCGTCTCCCGGCTCGTCTTTCGAATTCAAATTGATAAACAGGACGCAGTTTGTAATGGCCGGTGGGTTGCGCTGCTACGGGACCGGCCGGCTGTCGGATGAGCCGGACGACTTCACTGACCGACCGGCATAGTAATTAATTTTAAGCAGCACGCTGCGCGATTTTCGCTATCTCGACCGCTACCGCTCTTCGTCTCCGGCGTGCTCCACCTGACCGTGACAAACACACCCTCGCCCTCGCCACCGGACGAGCGATTACCCTTCGCGCTTCCTTCTTTCCATCGCCGGCGATTCCCAGCCACCTGATAATTCAATTACCCGCGATTTCAACGTTCCACCAGCGTGTTAGATAACGCGGACGTTCGATATCTCGAGAAAATTCTATAGGGCAAGTTTGCTCTTTCTTCGAGTTCGAGTTCGCACCATTTCGCTAATTAGCTATTGAGACTTTCAATTTCCTCGTTTCTTCGAAACATACTCATAAACTTCTTCGAAATGATCGGAGACATTTGGACATTCCTCGAGGAACATCGAGAGAGCAGTCGTCGTAAAGGGGTGGTGCCAATGAGACGTAGTCGCAGCGAGTTCGATACGAGCTCGATAACGTGACACGCGCGTCGAATCGAACGGACGTTATTAAGAGAAATAAAGATAAGACCGGCATGAGGAGGAAAGGGGATATACGAAACGCGCGTTTCACAGCACGTTGGGGGAACACGTAGGCGCGTGAAGATCAGAGCCTCGCACGTAGGCGCGGCTGACAAACGCGGCTACGGGCCACGGTTGTATCGCGCGGACGCGCGATTACCATTAAACGCGTAATGGAAACGGGTCCGAAGGAACCTGGTCACCGGCGATAACATCGGACAAAGGTGTTAACGTAATTCAACAGGGACAGGTGAGAGCACCGGGGCTCCGGTGTTGAGCGCAGCCACTAGCGAACACTTCGCTTCCGCGCGACTTCCTCCATAAAACGCAAATCTACAATTAACACTCTTTCCTTATACGACGCTCGAATTTACGTTGCCACTTAGCACGGCCTATGTCGCGTTTCCCGTCACCTTTCCAATTCGAACAGCCGTCGCGGACAATTCTCAAACAGATCGCGGCAACGATCTCGAGCGGAAACAAAAGCACAGATGCGAAAGACGAATGGTTTTCGTTTGGACAGCGGTTCGATCGGCTCGCCAAATTCGGAATCGTTGAAATGGTGTTACATATTATGTCGCACGAGGAAAAGTTTGCAAATCGGGTGTATGGAAACGAAGACGGGCAAAACGCTCCGTTGAGAGAAATACGTCGGCAAACATAATAAACCGAAACCCGATGGAATTTGAAGAAGAAACGCCGTGTCTTAAAATAGGAAACGTAATAAGGAGAGTAATAATAGGCTATCCCTGACGAAAGCGTAGATCCATTTTTAGGATTCGCTGCTGAGAATACGCGAATAGAAGAAGCCTGGAATCTGTTGGAAAGGTTTCCACCGTGGATGCTTCGTCACGCTTGGCGAAGGTGTCCCTTGCGTTTCGAAATATATGTATCTAAAACTGCCAGTCCTTCGGACCTCGAGATTCCGGCGATTATTTTTACCGATTCACCCCGGTAGGTTGGAGAGGACCTATCTCGACCGTGTCTATTCCGGATTTCGCTGAGACGAGGAGAAGATCGGTGGAAATCGCTAGGCCTGGCCTCCATTGAAACAACAAACGAAAGGGTGAATTATCGTCGCGTCGACGGAAGAAAACAGGCCGAGGGAAATTCTCGACGGATTCCCGTCGGCCTTCCCTATCCGTATTCACGTCCGATTGTTCGGCGAGTTATAAACGCAGCCCGCAGCGGAGGCCGTTTGATCGATGGCAGCCAAAAGCCAGTCGCGGCGTGGCGCGGCGCGGCGGAGAAGCGGAGGAAGAGAGGGATGAATACGGAGTAGCGAGAGAGAGAGAGAGAGAGAGAGAGCATGAGAGAGATGGAGAATGAGATAGGAAGAGAAATCCGAAAGGACGAGAGGGAAATGGAGAACGCGAGGCCGAAGGTAGAACGTGGAAGGTAGAGGCGAGGTAGCAGTAGGTGGTTGGGCGGTCGGAGGTGGTCAGGAATCACGGAGTGATGTCAGCCCGTGACTCGTGACACGCGCTGGTTTAATTAGCGCTACAATGCCGAATCCGTGTGCATGTGCATGTGCAACCAGAAGGTGGAAACGTAGCGAGAGAAAGAGCAAGCCGAGAGGGAAGAGAGAGAGAGAGAGAGAGAGGTGATAGAGGAGGAGGAGGAGGAGGTCGGGAATCGGACGGTGGAGGACGCAAAGCCCGAGCAAACCGCACCACCCGTGTGCCCTGTTCCCGACCACGATTCTCTCTTCTCTTTCTGGCACTCTGCCTGCCGACCTACGACCCGCCCCCGGGACCCCGGGACCACGTTCTCCGAATTACCGGTCCCGTCGCTGCAACAGCGGTGCACTTAGCGTAAATTCAGGGCGAATCGACGGCGCTTGACGTCCCCTTTTCCAGACCCCTCAATTTCCTCCCCCTACGGACCGCGCTCCTTCCATTCTCGGTGCGCCGGATCGCGTCTATATCTCGCGTTTATATACCGATCGTCGAGACGCTTTCCTCTTGCTCTTGCTCCGGAATTAATGTTACGTGGAAACGGAGCCGGAGAATTTGCGACGGACGCGAGAGTTAGCCTCGATACTTTTAGAATGGAACGAACGCTGCTTGTTTCTAGGAATGATCCTCGTTCTCCGAAGCTTACGATTGATCGATTGTTCGACCGTTCGATCTGCGATGTTTTTGTGAAAAAAAAAAAAAAATAAGAGAGGAGTGAGAAGTTTTTAGAGAGTTGAGAAATCGAATATTTTATTCGTTTCTTTTCTTTCTGAATCTCTTTTAGACCGACGTTGAAAATTCCTTATCGTCACGTAATTGCACGTTCGAACAACGAGAAGAAGAGGTTTCGAGTGCAAAAACTAATTCGCGATAAGCGAGAGATAGAAAGGAGCTCTTTCCTTGAGCGCGCGAAGAGGCTAGAAAGCTGACGTATTCGCGCGTGTAGCGAAGCATATGTCCTCGGCCAGTGCGACACACGGTCGAGATAGGAGAGATTTAAAATGTTGCGGCAGGTCGGAGGACTAAATGATGATAAACTATCACGCTGGTCCCGGTAGACTGACCCTGCACGCCGGCTTGAATTACGGCCAAAAAACAAAACCAGTCGTCGCCCGACGTACGCGGCGGACAAGTAAAACACATCAGCTCCATTCTCACCAAGATGCAAAACCCTGGATCGCTGGATTTTCCAGTCGCTTACCTATCGCAAATTAACACGATACCGAGCGAACAATGAGAAAATCTTCATATACAGATGATCGCAAATACGATCTCTCTTTGAAAATCCAAAATTTCTAGTAACACGTTTTTTTTTACATCAAATTCGACATTTTATTCTCATACGAAATTAATTAGTGCATAAACACTGTACTAGGTGCATATACGCTATACTAGGCGCAACATGGTACAGATACTTTTTGGAGCTACTGTATATTCAGACAAAAAAATAAAAGTTCCTACCCATAAAACTACAAAAAAAAAAAAAAAAAAAAAAAAAAGGAATCAAGAATACCTCGTCTAATAAAAATAGATCGACATTTATACATGAGGGAGGACGGCAGTAGGGCAAAGTTAAATTGCAAATAAACCACGCACGTACACCTACGTATCGAGTGCATTACACGTTAAACGAATTTCCTTTGTCGAGGAGGCATTACGTTCCTTATGCGAGCCGGCGGTATCTTCGATCGCCGCTAACGATCGTCCGGAGCAACGCACAGA